ACCACACCGTATGTGGTCGGCCGGTGTCATCAGTCCAGTTGCGAAGGTGGTTTGAGCCCGGCAAGGAAGTCTCACTGTGACATAGGCCAGCGGCGGCTAGGAGGCACCGAGTGGCATTCATAAATATTAGGATGCTGCTAGGTGCAGACCGACTGGCCCAAATTTTAGTAGCTCAGCGCGGACCCATCGGATTCGAGCCTCCCAGCTGTTGGATTTGCTTCTCAGGCCCTTTCTTCTACCTCATGCTCGAGTGACCGCGTATAGAAAAAAACCATGCTGAGCTGCTCACCATGTGTTGCACGCCTCCTCTATCAGGTGCTCCTTCGCGAGACGCTTCGGACGCGTTTGTTGGTGTCGTCGGCCCCAGCAGCACCGGCGTGTAGCGCCCCCTCTCGCTTGTGACCATCAATTGCAACACGGGGGTTCATTGTTCATGCTTGCACACCAGGCCATCTTAGCACCCCTGCCAGTCCTGCTAATGTAGCCACCGCCGCCCCGCCATTCCAGGAAGTCTCCGCTCCATCCTCATCCTCGCCGTCGAAACCCCGCCTCTGTCGGCAATTGCAACTTTTCTCCTCGATTTCTGCAAACTATTGCCGTCATTGATCACCATGAAAAATGGTCATAGCAAATTTGGTCGCCAGTCGTAGTGAAAGTCGACGACCGTTGCAGCAAATGTTCATTGCCTCCTTCATGGGTTGCAGCTTCACCATGAAATGGTTGTAGGAAATTTCCTCACTAGTCATAGCAAACGCCGGCGACAGTTGCAACAAAATTTGTGGCTGCTGTTGTCGCCGGTTGTAGCTTGCCATGTAGGCCACAACATTTTGCGTCGCTGATTGTAGCAATCGACCCTACTGATTCCAACATTTTGGCTGCTGGTTGCAGCATCCTATCGTTGTCGTGGTTGTCGACAGTCGTAGCAGCGGTTGTCACCAGTTCTAGCAAATTGCGTCACCCATTGTTGAGGAAATCGTTAACTGGTAGCTGCTCGGTCGGCTGGTGAGTAGGGGGTTTAATAGGCTAATCGGAAAGTTAATCGGCCATTTAATCAATTAATCGGATGATTTATCGGGTAATCGGCTACTCGGGGACCCTATGAGTAGGGATTAATTGGCAAGTTAACTGGTTAGTCGGATGAATTCTTGAACAGGGGCGTCACCTATTGTAGCAAACAACATCACCAGCCCCAGCTGTCGATCTGGCATTCCAGCAGTTGACGTTGCCGGTTCTAGCAATTGGCATCACCGGTTCTAGCACACACCCTCGTCGGTTGTAACTTGCAGCCACAAATGTTGTAGCTCGAAGCCCGTGGTTTCCCCCCTACCTGTGAGCTCGCAGACCATGGCCACAGAATGCAGCACACAACCACAGGGGTTCCAGCAACAATGCACATTGGTTGCAGCATTCGTGGACGGCCTACAACTCCACACCGTGTCCCCGCGATGGGGAGGAGGCGTCCCTGCGATATGGGAGGAGGAAGAGGTGGCGAGCATGCCTCCATGTTGAGCACATCCATCTTACTCGGGCTCATGGCTTCTCCCGGGGAGCCCGCGCCTTACCATCCTTGTGCGCTAACGGGGGAAGAGGGAGATTTGTGGGCAACGCGGAGCCATTGTCATCGGCGGTAGAAGGGGATGCGGTGGCTAGAGCATCGCAGTGAGATAAGAGATGAGGCGAGAGGAAAAAAGAAAGAGGTGTGGCCGCACATCGTCTTTAGGAGGAAGAAGATAAGGATGGAGTGGGAAGAGGAGGACGGTGCATGGGACCACAGGGCCATGTGGTGTGGGTGCGTGTGACGGAGACACAAGGGACCGGCCGTAAACTTAGCGGTCGTCCGGCAGGAATCATTTTCCTAAGTTTTGACACTCCAGTATATGTCACAAATATGTTTACAATACAGTGTAGACCGGTGTTGAACTTAATATTTTGGGTTCGGATTTACTCCTCTATGTCGCACCTAGCCGAAGTCCTAAAACCTATAAGGGAGGATAAATTTTACTCCCTCGCTGAAAAAACCCTCCAACCCGCCTAGATATACTTGGCGCTTGCACGGTCAAGTAAAACTAGTGCACCTCTTTCTCCCGCTCTCGCACCTCCGCCACTCCCGCAGCAGCCACCACGCACCGCCGTCGCCACCGATGACCGGCCATCCCGCCGGAATGGGTAGCCAAGACCCTTCCATTACCCCACCGGCCACTGCCGCCAGAAACCACCCATGCGCTGAAAAAAAGGTTGGGGATGAAAACAGTCCAACGGCCACAAGGACCGGCTCCAACCGCGGCAAAGGTCGCCGGGTTGCGACTTCCTCTCCAATGACGGTTGACTGCCCTCCCACCACTCCCCCAGAATGAAGAGAGCTCAAAAACCGAGTGGCGACGGTGGCGGCCCTCACGGAGTAGGCCGGGAATAATAATAAGAAGAAGACCGCTGAGACACCCATCCACATCTAGTGCCTCGTGTGGCGTCTCCGGTGACCCCTACGACCACTGCTCCGGCACGGTCGGTGGTCACAGCCAGCAAGAAGGGTCGCATCTTTCAAGTGCTCGAATAAAGGCTAACAAGGTAAAGAAAACCATCTTTCACATTTCGACCAACGAATTTTAGATGGTGATTGTTGGTGGTCGATGGTGATGGAGTTTGTTCGCTTTGTTGTCATAGTGTGGAGATTAACACAGCCACATTCTTGGCATCTTTGGAGTCCTCGACTATGATGGGGCTAGATGATCTCAATAATGACTCAATTTGGGATCATTCGGAGGTGGCCGAAGAGATGGAAGAAGAGAAGGAGGCCGATGAGGAGGAGGCCGATGGGTATGCAGTTGAGGAGGTGGCAGAAGCAAGCACGAGGTCATCAAGGTCACGCACCGCCAACTACAATCAAGTCGAAGATGTTGCTCTATGCTATGTTTGGACGAACATCTCCATGGGTGCAACTGTTGTAACGGATCAAACCAAGGCTATGTTTTGGGAGAGAATTGTGGATTACTACAACAACTCCGTGGAGGTGCAATCTAGCCATTTGTAAGGTTCTCTTGGGCATCGTTGGGGCACCATTCACGACCAATGCAACCAATGGTCTGGTTGCATCAATCAAGTGAATCATGCACCCTCGAGCGGTGTGCAAGTGGCGGAGTATGGCCCCTACATGCAAGAACTATTCAAGCATAGGAACACCAAGTTCGGCCACAAGCCTTTCACGTTGCATCATTGCTACAAAGAGCTATGCAAGAATGAGAAGTGGATCGAAAGAGCTGCGGAGACCACCCCAAAGAAATCAAGGTTGAGCATATCCGTTGAGGAGGACAATGAGGTGGATGAAGAGGCCAACAAAAGACTGGAATATAACAAAATTGCAAAAGAGAGAAAGAAGAGAAATGTGATGGCACATACAAATAAGAACTTGTGGCCATGATTGAGGCCAATAAGGTGTTGGCAGCCGAACACAAAGAAGAGAACATGGCGAGGTGGAATGAGCTCAGGATGTTGGAGGATGAGAAATGGATGTCAAGTTGGCGGCCGAAGACAGAAAGTTGAAGGCGAAAGAGCATAGACTTACACTTGAGAAGGAGAGAATTCGTGATGGCAGGAAACAAGAAGATCGTGCTATCATGTTCATGAATCCAACCACAATGGGTGAAACCACAGGAAATTATTGAGAGCTCACTCGTGTGGAGATCTTGACCCTAACGGAACGCTCTCGTCGGATTGGTGTGGGCGAGAGGATAGTGGTGGTGACGATTTCTTCGGCGAGGACTTCGTTTGAGTTCGTGCATGCCATTGGTTGGCTCAATCCTCAACATACACATGTTATGTTGTGGTGGTTTTGGATGAAACTTTGTGTTTTAAGTTATGCGTTTTGGATGAACTATGCATGTTTTAATTTGAAAATCACGATAATGAAACTATATGTTTGAATGGTTATGTTATGCGTGTTTTAATTTGAATGTTTTTATTATATATATATATATATATATATATATATATATATATATATATATATATATATATATATATATATATATATCGTGAAGTGTTTGAAGTTCATGGGGTTAGAACACAATTTGTTTTTACTCCACTAAGTGCAAGGGATTAGCTAGGTGCGGCCACCTATAGAGAAGATAAAGTTTACCCCTCTAACTTTACTCAGCCGGATCCTCTCTATTTTTGAAGGATCGGTTAGAGTTAGCCTTAGTTTCATGTACCTATAGCTTCACTAAAACCCATGCTGACGGCGTTCTGGAATGACTGTGTCAAGCTAAGACGCCCGGAGGAGGAGGACTTGACTGGTGCGCACGATACCAAGTAGTACAAGGAATATGTTCGGGCTTGCAATATCTTCATCATGAATTGGACCCTGAACAGAGGATCGTGCACATGGATCTAAAGGCGAGCAACGTGCTGATCAGCCGTAACGAGCGCGGAGACATCACCAATGTAAAAATCGCGGATTTCGGCCTGTCAAAGCTCTTCAGAGCGGACCTTACACACTCCTACACTGAACTGGTCATTGGTCTAAAGTAAGTATATACTGTATATGGTAGCAAGATAATAATAATCTCCACACACTCTGGCTATAGTGCTAACTATTTATTTATCCGTTGATGGATGATGCAGGGCGTACATGGCCCCGGAATACCTTAGCAGGGGCAGGATCTCAGCCAAGGTGGACATATATTGTTTCGGCGTTCTTATTCTGGAGATAGTCACTGGCGACTGCGCCAACGTGAATGATTCCTCGGTCGAATTCATCGACCGGGTAAGCGCTGGCCGGCGATCGAGTTGTGAGTTTCAGAGTTTGTGCTCGTCGATCTTAGGAATACAGTAGATGACTTGTGACAAGCTCATGTGCAGGTGCGCAGGGAGTGGGGCAACGGAGACGTGAGAAGGATCACGGTGGAAAGCTGCTCCGACGACTGCATTCCACAAGCTCGCAACTGCATCGATATAGCGCTGGACTGCATCCAGGAAGACCCCGACCGCAGGCCGGACGCGACAGAGATAGGCCAGCGGCTCTCGCTTTCTCGTACCTGCGGCACAGTCCATGCGATGCAAGCTATAAGCATCGACCGAACTCAAGTATAATAATGTCAAAAACGCTCTTATATTAATGTCAAAAACGCTCTTATATTATGAAACGGAGGGAGTATTTCTCTCGCATACTTTGTTTCAATGCATGCATGAGACGTCCTATATATAAGAGCGCCAGGATGTCCTGTAAATTTATACGGAGGTACCTAGTAATATGTTGGTGTTAGCACGAGCTCATATCCGCATGAACAGTAATATGTAAAAAACTGTTTTTTTTTTCACAATGAACATGCCTTGTGTTCCACTTCTAACTGCTTGCCAATTTTCATGAAGGTACAATGTGTGTGGTGGTCTAGAGAAAAAAAAGAATCGGATGCACAAAGAAAGGCGTTTTAGAGCACTTGTTTTTATACCACACACGTCTTTTGTCAGTGAAAACTTGCTTATAGTTAGAACACGCGTTATGTTCATTGTCAAAAAATCCGAAATTTTATTTCATCTACTACTTTTTACTGTCCATGCCATAGCACATAAGCTTGAGCTTCAAAATGCCTCCTCCTGATATATATATATTTTTCTTCTCCTTTTACATGATTGACTCAGAGCTTAAGAAGGCGGATGATGTCCATGTTGATGTTGACTGATCCCTTGCAGTCCGACTGCGTACATAAATTTTATTTTGTTTTTTTCTCTGGTTCGGGGTCCAACATGTATCATATCGCTTGATGCCGAGTAAATTGCAAATTACCAATATTTTGTGGACTCTAAATCAGTAAACTACCAACCACATTTAGTTTTTTATCTTGCAAAAGTCCGTCATTAATTTTTTTGGAAAAACTTCCAATCTATTAATTTTCAATTATGATAGTACAACGAGCATTAGAAATAATAAAAATTACATCTAGAACCGTAGACCACCTATCGACGACTCCAAGCATTAAAGCAAGCCGAAGGAACGCCGCTGTCATCGCCCCTTCCTCGCCGGAGCTGAGCAAAACTTGTTGTAGTACACAGTCGCAAAGTCATTGTGCTAAGGCCCCATAGGACCAGCGCAAAAGGATAGCAACGGCCACCGACAAAGAGTAGTGTACATCAGAAGAATCCAACTTGAAGACATAAGAACATATATGAACGACCATCAGAGCCAAACAAATTCACGGAAGACAAATTTACCGGAGACACAACTCCACATGTCCACCGACGATGCTAGAAGCACCACTAGAATGGGGCCTATGAGGAGAGAACCTTATTCCATCTCCAGGGAGGCACCGCTGCTACCTCTTAAGCATGCGTTGGTTTTCCCTTGAAGAGGAAAAATGATGCACCAAAGTAGCGTAAGTATTTCCCTCAGTTTTTAAGAACCAAGATATCAATCCAGTAGGAGATTACACGCAAGTTGTCTAGTACCTGCACAAACAAACAAGAACCTCGCAACCAACGCGATAAAGGGGTTGTCAATCCCTTCACGGTCACTTACGAAAGTGAGATCTGATAGAGATAATAAGATAAATATTTTTGATATTTTTGTTGTATAGATTAAAAAGTAAAGATTTCAAAATAAATGGCGACAAAAATAGCTAATTGACGGGAAAATAATATGATGTAAAGTAGACCCGGGGGCCATAGGTTTTACTAGTGGCTTCTCTTAAAATAGCATATATTATGGCGGGTGAACAAATTACTGCTGAGCAATTGATAGAAAATCGTATAGTTATGAGAATATCTAGGCATGATCATGAACATAGGCATCACGGCCGTGTCAAGTAGACCAAAACGATTCTGCATCTACTACTATTACTCCACACATCGACCGCTATCCAGTATGCATCTAGAGTATTAAGTTCAGAAGAACAGAATAACGCATTAGGCAAGATGGCATGATGTAGAGGGATAAACTCAAGCAATATGATATAAACTTCATATTTTTATCCTCGACGGCAACAATACAATACGTGCCTTGCTGCCCCTGCTGTCAGTGAAAAAGGACACCACAAGATTGAACCCAAAGCTAAGCACTTCTCCCATTGCAAGAAATATCAATCTAGTAGGCCAAACCAAACTGATAATTCGAAGAGACTTCCAAATATATCAAATCATGCATATAAGAATTTAGAGAAGAATCAAATATTATTTGTAGATAATCTTAATCATAAACCCATAATTCATCGGATCTCGGCAAACACACCGCAACAAGAATTACATCGAATAGATCTCCAAGAACATCGAGGAGAACTTTGTATTGAGATCCAAAGAGAGAGAAGAAGTCATCTAGCTAATAACTATGGACACGAAAGTCTGTGGTAAACTACTCACACATCATCGAAGAGGCTATGGTGTTGATGTAGAAGCCCTTCGTGATCGAATCCCCCTCCGGAAGATCGCCAGAAAAGGTCCCTAGATGGGATCTCACGGGTATAGAAGGTTGCGGCGGTGGAAAAGTGGTTTCGTGGCTCCCCTGGATGTTTTCAGGGTATAAGAGTATATATAGGCGAAAGAAGTAAGTCAGTGGAGCTGCGAGGGGCCCACGAGGGTGGGGGCGCGCCTGGCTTACCTCGTGGCCGCCTCGTTGCTTCCTTGACCTTCACTCCAAGTCTCCTGGATTGCGTTTGTTTCAAAAAAGATCCTCGCGAAGGTTTCATTTCGTTTGGATTCCGTTTGATATTCTTTTTCTGCGAAACATTGAAATAGGCAAAAAAACAGCAATTTGCACTAGGCCTTCGGTTAATAGGTTAGTCCCAAAATAATATAAAAATGCATAATAAAGCCCATTAAACATCCAAACAGATAATATAATAACATGGAACAATAAAAAATTATAGATACGTTAAAGACGTATCAACCGCCATCTCACCTTCTTGAGGAGGATACAAACCCTAACAGAAGTCCAACAAGATCTAAAAACGGAGCCCCCTACTGGCAAGGGCCGGGATCCACTCCGCTCACATGGCCCTAAGGCCACCGTAGATTATGCTGACAGTTTGCCAAAAACACTAAATGAGCATTGACACTATTTTGATGGATGGGGCACGTTGTAAGTGCTAACATGACCCAAAAAAACTTGACACCGGTCGACAGCATCACGGGAGCTCAGCCAGACCTCGCCGGAGATAGCCCAGCCCTTGCCCGAGCTCGCCCCAAGCCGCCTCGTCACAACCCGCTAGTGAGCTCCTCTGACCTCCTATCTGTTAAATGGAAGGCTGCAGAAGAATGCAATTTGGGTGAATGGATGCATGTGAACGTGCTAATAGTCAATGAATGTAGTTGCTTGATGTGCACACAATGGGTATTTTTGCTAGATGACCTCTTTATCTTTATCTGAACTAGCAAAGTAGCCCGCTCGATGCGCGGGCTAGAATTTTATACATATATATTATATATATTTATACATATATATTATCCATTTATGAGTTGATATTTGAAGATATAAAAATAAGCCAAGAATCCATTTGTGAGTTGATATTTGAAGATATAAAATTAAGCCAGCTAACCAAACTATAGCAGACCAAGCTACAAATAATCACAAATTTAACTAGCATCAACTTTGGTAGCTCTTTACTGCCAGAACAAAAAAAAATTGAATCAAGCACAGAAGTACATCCTTTCATATTCTGGTACATATTAATTTGTCTCGATATTTTTGTAGTTCTCCAATCAACATTGCTAAACTATTGAAAAGGAATTGAAATAGAGAATACATTTGTTAAGTTAGGGAGCAAACATGGTTTTCTATAATTGTGTTGGTGGTTAATTTTTCCAACTTATGTCAATCATGTATGATCTATGGGGTTGGTTTATTACTTTATCAAATCAATGGTGCGCCATTTTTTTCGTTGTTGTGGTGTTGGGCAATACAAGTTGGTGGTCACTATTTTAAATCTCTGACCACTAATTATATGTGAAAAGAATTTAGTTAGGTCAATAAAAAATTATGTTGATGTATTCATCTTGCAAAATTCTTTAAATGTCATATTTTATGCCTTGCAAATTGTGTACATTGACGTCTACACCTTTTCCCCTAGAATTTCAATTAATTTGGAACAAAGGGAGTATATGGTTGGCAAAACTTTAATAGAAGGGAAATAAATAATAGGCTAATGCACATCCTTCTACACAATATTGCGAGGTGTACTGAATCTAGATAGACAAATATTACATGCAAAATTAAATCATAGATGGAAAATTTACAGCGCATCAATGTCAAAGTTGCCAACTCAAACACGAAAATTTGTTTCTGGTCGTGGGAACAGATGAGGCCGGAATCACAGCCTTTGGTCGTCCTCGGGATCCATGTGTATTTTCATATTATAGAGCGTATGCGCCTACCATATTTGATGATGGGTCCCGTGCATTTGATGATGGATCCACTCAAACACCACTATTTCACACTGTTGAGTATATTGATTATAAAGAAAGATGAGATAGACTAGGATCGGTCATGTCTTGTCTTGTATTTTAAATTGATCATTGTACTTCTATATATACTCCCACGAGGTTCAAGCAATACAACAAATCAAATATACTATTCAAACAAATTTCTCTTTCCCTTTTAACATGGTATCAGTTTCCGGGTTCTAAACCCTAGCCGCCGCTTCCGCATCCGCGCACCGCCCCCGGGGCGGTCGGCCTCCATGACCACCGCCGGGGGCCGCGTTGCCCGTACGTAGGGTTCGTCCGCCGGTCGTGTTGACCGTCTGCCCTAGAGAGTCTTTTTTCCGAGCCCTTGCTCCGGGTTTTTTCGCTCTCTCGCTGGTCGTTTTGATCGGCGTTTTTCTTTTTGGTTTTTCGATCTATGCTTGATCGGTTTGCGCGCCCGCCGCCGCCGTCGACCCCCATGTGCCTCTACTCCGGTACCGGCGCGACCGGCCGGCCTCTTCATCGCCCTGGTGGCCTCGCACGACAGGCGGCACCTAACGGCCGTCGTCTGCACGTCTGCCTGCCCGTCGCCCCGACCCGGCGGCCTCGCGCGACAGGCGGTTCCTCACGGCCGTCATCGGCGCGTGGCCTGCTCGTCGATCTACGCCGGCCATCATCATCCTGTCCTCGAGTTCAGCGCGCCCCTCCGTCGATCGAGCAACAGGCT